TGAACGACATCTTTTATTGGAAAAATGAGCTTGATGAGCTTTCATCATCGCTACTGCCTGAAGCACCAACGTCAATAATGAATGGCTCGACTTGTTCCTCTAAAATATTGTCCAGTTCCCACATTCTCTTTTCAACTTTGTCTTTCACGTGCTTAATACAGTTTTCCCATTTTTGCGCTGTTATTAATTCTAGTGCTTCTTTGAAAAGTCCTTTGAGGTCACAAAATTTAAAAGTTGTATTGTGCTTAGCTATATAATTTTTAACCTCTGCCCATATGAGCTCAATGGGATTGAGCTCGCAATGGTATGGAGGTAAACGGAGCACAGTTTTATTTTGACTTGCTGCCATTTCGTCAATGGCGTATTTTTGATATTCCGCCTTGTGATCCTTGACAATTCTTAATAATTGTACTTTCAGCATTGCTTCTTCAAAGTTGATATTTTTCGAGCGGAGCCAATTTTGAACATCAACTTTCCTTGAAGCCGTTGTTGGGACCTTCTCCATTCTTCGAGAATGATAAGGCGCATTATCCAACACAATTACTGCGTTTTCCTCTAAGTTCGGTAAAATTTTTGAAAACCACTGTTCAAACGATTCGCCATTCATTTCCTCGTGGTAATCTCCAGTTTTCTTAGACTCAAAGCACCACAGACCGTCAACAACAAATCCATCCTCACTGCCAATATGGCAGATAATGAGCCTTTTCTCTTTACCTGGAAATCGAAGTACTAACTGGTGTAGATTTATTTCAATAAGCGAACCTTTTTCAAATGTTTTCATCACATTCAGCGAAAAAACATTGAGACATGAGTATCAGATTGCTATAATTGGGATTATTTAGTCATATTGAAAGAAAGAATATTGAACGTCGTATGATTACTCAGCGCTTCACAATTTAATTTAAAGTTATAAACCTTTAAAAAATAAATGATCAGGAACCTGAAATACGCGCAAATATTAATATTAACAAATTATAACTTTATAAAGCTTAAAGTATGAATTAAAATGATTAGAAATATTAGGAACGGTACACAATATAAAACTTCGTAACTTTTTTTAAGTTATAATATTCGACATATTTTAAGATTATATTAAAAAATTATTGAAATATCGAAAACACATAAAAACATGGCTTAAAAAAGTTCTAACAAATGAAAATGACAATAAAACATCCACGCATTTTATCGAAAGTTATAAAAGCTTTGTTACTTGTAATATGTTTTATCTGTCCCCTGGAATTAATGTTTAGAACCTTGTTCCCAAGGTTTGACAAACACCCGATTGTTGTCTATTACTCGTATTTACCTGCTGGATTTTTTAATCCGGTGGACAGTCCATCTAGAAAGGCCCTCCTGGATGAAGTTACAGAATCATCAACCCATACTTTACTTGTAGTGTGTCCTGCGTTTACCCACGTTTCATCAAGGTAATAAATCTTCCTGTTTTGATTTCTATATTTCCCAATTTTTGTTAAATAATCCCTCCTCCATAGCACAATTTCTTCTCTATCCAGTAGTAAACTATTACGAACCCCGTTTTTTCCATTTGAAATTTAAATGCTTCAGTAACGCATGGAAAGTTGATCGTTTGAAATTTGGCAACGTTGTATCTCCATTTACCTCCTGCAGTACTTTATCTATAGTAGGTATTTCATTCCTAAAGAAGAATTCATGCACTTTCCTCCTAATCGCATGCTTATCAGCTTCATCCAATGATTTAACAATACTTTTGCGATGTTTACTGGTCATTGGCTCAGAAAAGGTGTGATTTTTTTTGTATTGTCTTAACACATTAAACACTGATGCGCGACACACCCCAACTTTGTGAGAAACCTTCACAACAATTTCTTTGATGGTTGATGCCTCGTTCTCCTCGCGCTCGATCTTATATATATATTGAAAATGATCTCTTTCATTTCTGCACTCAGGTGTCTTTTTTTAGAGCGTTTCCTAGGTGGACTACAGGAGTTTACAACTTCATCGGCAGTATCTGTACTACTGGGCATTTTGCGCAAGCAGTTGATAACAATAACAATCAATAACAAGGTATAACAATAACAACGACAAACTCAACAATTTAATAAGATAACAAACGAAAACGTCCAAAGAAATATCAAATTACAATGATGCACACGACATACGTAACACGTCTGAACCTGAATGTGACTCTGCCTTGATACGACTGCTCTGCCGCTCGGCATAGGCATTTAATTGCGAATTGACCAATGAGGGCTCCTGTTTTACGTCGAGACGGCGGCGTTAGCGTGAAAATCACCCGAACCTTTTGTTTACATCCGGTCTATCTCTTATCTGAATATACTGTAGATGTCTCCCGTTAAAAGTTCATTTGTTTTTCAAATGACCTTGACGATCAGTTATATTGCGACATATTTTCTTACACTTTTCATTTCTGCAGTCAGAAATTTCAGTTTCTATTTAAGAATACTATCTGGACGTTCAAATGAGCTTGAAGGTCATAGTTAGAGTCACATTCAAGGTCACCATTAGGTGATTTTTTCTAACCTCACAAATATATTATACATTTTTCTTTACGAAACGTAGTTTTCAAGATATTTAGTCGTTTGTCAAATACGGCTCATCGTCAAGGTCTTGGGACTTTATTTTGGAAAACTGTCTTAACCGTCAAATGACCTTGAACTTCACGGTCAATGTCACCGTCAGATGAATCTCTTCAAGCCTTAAAACATTGTTCTACATTTTTTTGGATTAATCTATACTCTTTGGATACATTTATATTTTTCCATGTCTATAAGCTTTCTAAGATTTGAATTAGCAACTTTTTACGTCTCTCAGTATTATGGTTTAGATGTGATGCTGACAAACTGGACAGATATTCGCATTTATAGTCAACGCCAAACAAAGTGGCGTGCACGTCATCACGATAAAAATTCCCCGACCTAATGCCTAGGTTTCTATCACAAACAATTGCTCTATTGCAGTTTCATATTAATGTGATATATAAATTGTAAAATGGTCATTACTCTCTTATTATGGTTAATAGTCATATAAACATTGTTATTAAAATATCACATAAGTTGCTTTCTGATAAATTTAGACGCATTATGCGAAATAAAATGTTTTGCAAACGCTCCAATCACTTATCGACATGTAAACGCACTAAACCGATTTCGCAGCGTTGACACATTGTCACCTTGAAACTTATTTAAACTGGGAACTGACATTTGTATTAATTTTGACACTGAATCAATTTGTGGCATTTCAAATCTTTATAAATCCTTTGGTCCCGCATACTGTAAATCAAGAACTGTTTGTTTCAAAACAAAATTATTCATTTTACGAGTAGATAAAGGCAATTTTGGTATATAAAGATGCCCAAACAGTTAAATAGTCGGTGTAAGGAACTCGTGGTCTCGTTAATGCACTACTTTGAGCAAGAAAGGGACAACAACGGGCCTTTGTTGCCTTTAAATGCTGTTCAAGAGGTAGGTTACTAATAATTATATGTAATGTATATTAATAATAGTGAAATTTTATTTCATTTTTTGTAGCGTGTTGCTGCTGCTTTAAAAATTAGTTTAAGGACAGTTAGTCGTATTTCCGAGGGTGTGAAAAGTGATGCAAATTTAGAATCGTCCAAGAAAAAGCGGAGTTATATTAAACGTGTAACCAACACAGCGACATTGGATACAAGTGCCATTCGAGAAGTGATCTATAATATGTATCACAAAAGTAAGATCTTATTATAATAACTTATCAGAAATTTGCATTAATTTGTTAACTAAATTATAATGTCATATTACACATGGTTTCAGAAGAACAAGTTACGATACAAACTTTATGGTCTCGATTAAGAGATAGGGCATTATTTGGTGGTAGTGCCACGTCTTTAAGGCGGTTGCTTAGAGATCTTGGATTTAAGTGGCTTAAGGACAATCCGCGACGAGGGCTCATGGAACTACCAAGTATAGCTTTGAAAAGGGTGGAATTTCAATACAATACAATCAACAACAAGCCAAGGTTGAGGCCTTATACCAGTTTGTCTTCCTCGATGAAACTTGGATATTTCAAAATGGGACCATAGGTCGCTCTTGGCAAAATGGAAACCAAAAAAGCGTGAAAGCTATTAACACAGATGGTAAAAGGTATGTACTTTTACACAATTTGCACTATAAAATTTAAAACTAATATATTTTAGATACATTATATTACATGCTGGAAATGAAAATGGGTTTATTGAGGGTAGTGAAGCGATATTTTCTTCGAAAACAAAATTGAGCGATTACCATGGAGAGATGAACCAGGACAATTTTTTGAAATGGTTTCAACATCAGTTATTAGAAAAATTGGAGAGTCCATCTATGATTATACTGGATAACGCCCCTTATCACAGCATGATATTGAACAAAGTGCCCAACAATGCATGGACAAAATAAAATATCCAAGACTGGTTGACAAATCAAAACATTCCATTTTTAAACACAATGTTTAAAACAGAGCTATTGAGTATTGTTGCTCGGTACATAATGCTTCTTAATTATATATATTTTGGTCGACAGTTTATATTTCTTTTGTTTATTCCTATTCTAAAAATAACTGCTTTTTTAGAAACAAACCACCTAAAATATACGTGATTGATGAATTGGCGGAACAACATGGGCACAAAGTTCTTCGTCTGCCTCCTTACCATTGTATATTTAACCCTATTGAGTTAATTTGGGGCATAGCAAAAGGTTACTATAACAGACATATTGGTAGAGATGGTAACAGTGAAAAAGACTGTTTGGATATGTGGAACGAGGCTCTACAAACGGTTACCCCAGACATGTGGAAAAATAGTGTTCGACATACTGAGCAAGAAATTTTTAAATGGTATGAAAGAGAACGAATTTTTGATCGATCAGACATCGAACCTTTAATAATCAACTTTGAGAGTGATGAAGATTCAGATTCAGACAGCGCTGAAGAAAGAAACTCCGACTAACTTTATTGTACAGAAAAAGCTTACACCAGTAGCTTACCTAATTTTAGAATGCATTTTTCTGTATGAATTCTGTAAAATAAATACCATGCATAAAATTTGGAGGACTCCATTTGGATTTTTATTCAGTACCTTTAAGCTATCAATTAAATATGGTAGTTTCATAGTGTCATCTGATCAATAATTGTCATACTTAATGATTATGCAAGTACAGATCTATAATTTTATTATACTATTATTTTTGTTCTCATTTGAGGTTAATATTGCTTATAAACCTAGATATGTAAATAATAAATTTTATTATTTTACAAAAAGTTTGGCAACAATGTAAATTTTTGAACACACCCACCTTGATGACGTGCACGCCACTTTGTTTGGCGTTGACTATATATAAGATGATAGGTACCGGATGATTGTTTTGAAATACGGAATTGGCTTTTTACAAATGAATTCTCGTTCTGGCCCTTTGTTATTGTTGCATTTTGCATTCATCATCCAAATCCTGTGCGTCGTCCAAAGCCCTAAATGCACAGTAACGAAATGACTTTATGACACGTGGCTGAAAGTAAACCGTCCGCCCAGTTCGTCACGGAGCTCTAAGGCTGACGGCGCTCCATCCAGTGCCAGTGGCGTTCCCAAGAATTTTTTCTGTACTGAATATGTAAGTAACCTTTCTGAACGAAACAAGTTTCGCTCTTTCTTTCTTCTCATATGCCACACTTTCTTTTGGATCGAGCGTTTTCTTACACGGTTATCTTCTGTTCGGGTGACGTCGATTATACAATCTCATTGTCAATACGAGGATGTCTTTTAAATTTTGCATATGGAAATAAAACAACACGGTAGGTAGTTTTAAATGACTTTATTGTTTTTCTCGAACCAATTTTCGAAGCACTTATTCCACTCGTTTGCTGGCAGATCCAAAACGGCATTTTTGAATGCGTCAACTGCTTCTTCTGGTGACTGGAACCTTTGACCACGCATCTTTTTCGATGTTGCGATACTTGTCTCTGAAAGTTGTAATAAATCATGGCGCGAAAATGTTCTCGGTTGAGTTCCATTGTTCTAATGACTTGGTGATACTAAAAAATTCACTGTAGTGAGAACACTGCACGTATTGTTGTGAAACTTTGAATTTAGGTTTACTAAAGAGTGAGGTTAAGATTCAGTACTGACGTTCGATCCGCTCGGCCTGCTATGTTTCTATATGCAAAACTTAAAAGACATCCCTCGTAAAGCATTTTTCTCCTAGCACATGAATCATATCAACCCTTTCTTCCGTTGAAAAATCCATTTTATTCCTAACCGAAACTTTACTACTAAAGTTTACGATGTTAGGTTAGTCAAAAAAACATGGCCAACCTATATTTTCCTGATCATTCCTATATTATTATGGTTTTCACTTATAAAACATGGAGTATCTTATAAAATACTAGATTTAGGTATAGGGAATGCCTAATAAAACTGAAAAGGCATCAAGAGAACGTTGAATAGAGATATAACATACAGGATGTTACATTTAAATTTATCGAGAAAATTACGTCTTTCCGTTTTAACTCACCCTGTGTGAAACATATACGTAAGAAACATTGGTTATGAATATCTACCACTGTTTCCATAACAAATTTTATCTGAAGTGTGTCAAATGTACAACGATTTTAACGAAAAAGTGGCCAACAGGGTGTTCCATTTAAGAAAATACAAATTTATATTGCCACCAATTTATGGGTCACCCTGTATAGTTCGAAATAATTTTGGGTTGTAGCCCTTAACTCCGCCTACAACTATTGTATTCAACTTTTTTCTGCAACTCTAATGGTAACGGAGATATTGAGCTTGTATTTTCGAATCAAAATAAAACCTTCCGACTTTCATAACCCCTAAAAAATTCGATATAAGTAAATGATGCGACCGAGCATAAAAATTGCAGAATTGGCCCCCGCAAGTTTTGTATGACTGTGTGTCACTTGTCAGTAGATTTTTATGTAATGGCAACTTCCAATAAGGAATGCAGTACTTTGATTCTGATCTTCTTTCACCGTTCCCCATTCGGTACGCCGCTGGATCGCGATTCATTACGAGGTCGCGTGGCCACCCCCCGTGTTTTGTTGTTATTCGTCGGCGAGAATTTCATTCCGACCTTAATCCTGGACACTTGTCCGAGATACTCTCTATTTTTATGGGAGTTTCTTAATGCGCCGGGATGTATGTATACTCGATCAGCGATGATTATTGCACGTGCTGTAAGCCGGACGCCAAGCAATTTTTGCACCCCTTGCCCGTTTTCTACGATGCCGCGATCATTGCGATGTTGCAGCTTGTTATACTAAAATCGGCTCGAGCATGGTAGAGAACGCGTTTGAAATTATTATTTACATTATTGCTAATAGCGAATCAGTTGCGAGAAACTAGTAAATATTGATAACAATTGATATTGTTAAATACGCCAAAATAAAAGAATGTGGTATTTTACGAAAAATGAAATAGAATAAGAAAGAAAAAAGCTCCCCCCAAATGAGATCGAATCACCGCTAAAAAGTTACGTTTGGCATGTCTCATTCTTGTTACACGTGTCGTATCTGCTACACCACCGCATTTTAATATGTAGATATTTATAATTACATATCCAAATTCCGAAAAATGAGATGGTTTCTGCAATTTTTTTGTTTCCAAGAATCTCACAACCAGGTTAGATACTCCGAGATGCTTGACACCTTGTTTTTTGAATAATCTCAACAAATTTTTCGCAAATAGGCAGCGTATCATTGTTAACATGATCTATCCAAGATGCAAGAAGAAAGTTTAGTAGAAAAGTTTTCAAATAATATTTTGTAAAAGGATAATTCTTTTGAAAAACAATTAGCTCACGGCATTAACATACTTCAACTGAATACGGACACGAAATTTGAACTTGGTCTCATTGATATTTTTCGAGAAAGTATGAAAAAAAAATTAAAAAAAGTGTTCCAAAAATATTCGTTAATTTTGCGTAAAAACCATATTAAGGCATGATCACAAAAATTAAATCAGCGGCCACAGAAAAACAACATTCGTGACCAATCACCTTAAGAGCAGGAGCTTTCTCGGTGTCAAACGTTAGTACTTAGATTATAACGCTCCTTGAAACATTTCGTAAGGATCTACCGCAGGACCACAGGAATATACTTTTTTCAATCGGTTGCATTTCCAAGCCGGATCTTGATCGGTTTTTCTGCCCAGGTAAAAATTAAACAACAACTCACGTTTGGCATCGTTAATCACCGCAAGAAGCATAATCAGTGTTTTATCATCTGCCCGGATACCAAAACAGTTTAAATTATGTTGAGTGTGTGTTCATCACTACCTTAATTCGTTTCTCTGCAACAAAAAGCGGAATACCACCCAATTAGTTCGACACAGCAATTCGTTTCAAGTAGCGCTCCACCGCAGCGTTGCCAAGTTTACTACACATTGGTGCAGTATTAGGATTAGATTATAACGCAAAACAAAACTAATTTTTTTCTGTATTAGAAAACAGTGTCTTAAATCAACGTTGAGAAATTTTTTTTGGTTATGGATAAATAAATAAATAGCGTTTATTGTCCAACAGTTAATGAAACCATTTACAGGACAATCCTAAGAAAATGTAAATGAAACTAACCAAAATAGAAAACATAAAAAATCAGGTGATCCCATATAAAAGAAAAAACAAACAAGAACAAGAAAAAAAACGAATTTCACTCAAGTGAGAAACATAAATTCTTTAACCAATAATTTCTAGTCACACAAAGAATGCTGTTCAAACTGTGAGCATGTAACAATTCGATATCGCATTGAAAGTTTCACGCATTACATATTTGGGTGCTTTCAAAAATAATTTTGTGCGATCCCTGTCGCATTAAATATTCTTGAATAATTTGGAATCATCCACAGTTTATCATGTTGCGCAATATCATCAATAACCAGGGTAAACAATGAAGGACCAAGATTTGAACCCTGAGGCACGCCCGATCTAGTTACTTACTGGTACGACTTGAAGCCATTAAAAGTTATATATTGCTTCCTTCCAATAACTTTGATTAGTGCTAAAGCTCCTGAATGGCATCCATAATGACAAAGTTTATAGAAACTAAAAAGATATTGAAGAAATATTTATTTATATCAACTACTTTTTGTGTATGGCGATTCAGCCCCCTGGGCCCACCCATAGCCCGTGATATAGATATGCCTATTCGTACACTGACTCTGAAAAATAATGAGGAGAATTAAATAAATAATGTGAATACTAAACAGCGGAAATGTCTCTTTTAATGCAAACTGCGGGTTCAATATTATAATTCGGAATTATAATAATCGTGATGTGTCTACATAAACGTCAAAATATTTTAGCGTGTCAATTTGTGTTCTGCGAAAAGTAGCTTTTAAATCAACTGGAATCGCTCGCGTCTGATGGTATAATATACGCTATATATATGCTGATAATTCAATTATAGTTTTAAATAATTTAAAGTCCATTTAGATTTCAACGGGCTTTACGTAAAACACGAAATGATAATTATAATGATGAATATATAAAATTGTTTCAATTATAGTTCCTTTCAATTGGAAATTTATTATAAATACGTAATTCATAAATATATAGTCTGTATATCGATATATATTCTCAAGCTGAACATGTCAGTCCGATCAAAGACAACCATGGACAGCTCTTTTGTACCGAAGGATAACATTTTTGCAATGTCCTCTGGCTTGACATCGATAAAACAATGTTTGTTGTTCCAAACTAGTCCATCAGACCAAAGACAGCTATTTCGTGCTTTTTGGAAACTCATGAGCATAATCATAGCAACTAGTTCGAACTGGTTCGCGAATGAGTTACACAAGAATCATGCCAGTGGTAGTATTTGGATGGGTAACCGCTTCAGAACAGATCGTATTGTGGTTTTTTGTATTTCATTTTTTTTAAGATGAATATTTTAAATTTAAATATTCCAGGTACGCTGTCGCTCACATGGCAGATAGCTATGAGATAAACACGTTTTCCAACAATCTAAAATAATGTACACTTTTGTTTTTCTGTTTTCACCAGTCCA